CCCAATATTATTTCCAAAATTCTATCCAAAATAATAAACCAAACACACCCATAAATTTTCTCCATTATTTTTGGTTGGTAAAATGGCCGACAACCACAATCTCAACCAGATTGTGGCAAGAAAATTGAGATCGCTATGCAATCTCACAAGATCAACCACGATATGTGCCATCTATTGGTCTTAGATTGTCCCAATCAATGTTTTAAAACCCGGCCCGGCCCGGCCCGGCCCAACCTGTTGAACCGGGACCCAAAAGCTTCAACGGGCCGGGTTTATATTTTTCTTATTCACCCAACACCCTAGGATTTGGGAGGATGATCGGCCAACAATTGATGGCCGGAATGTTGGGGCTTTTGAAGAGAAAGTGCCGATGAATGCAATGGTGGTGACGGAATTGATTTCCGGTGAGTAAATCGACCGAAAATCTAACAAAACTGGCAGCGACAACAATGAGATTTTACTGGCGATTGGTGAGGCTAACGGGGGTGAGGTAGGTGGGTTTTGGTCGAGAGGAAGAGGGGAGTAATTACTGCATGATGGGGAGGGTTGTCAACGCTGGCATCGATGAGATCTGGCTTGGAATCTCGACGCCGACGTCGGTGAGATTTGGCCAAAATTGAACCTATTTCGGCCAGATCTTGGGTATATTTTGATGGAAATGGGCTCAAGGGACGATTGGGATTGCATCTAGGGTGTCGTCGCCACCAATTAGTCACCGGTCAATCTGCATTTGGGGTGTGTTTGATAAATTTTAACCCTATAGGGACGTAACTTAATTTTTATCGGTGTATTTGCTGGATTTTAAAAGTTTTTATCAGCCGGTTTGACCAATGGTCAAACTGGTTAAACTGGTCAACCCGGGACCCGGAAGCTTTGCCGGGCTTCACCTTGGGTTGGATTTTAAAACATTGGTCCCAGTAGATCGAAATCGTCGTATTTGGGTTCAAATATGGTGTTTTTGAATATATATATATTTTTTACTTTTAAAATTTTAATTTTTTATTAAACAAATAGTTTAGCTTTTAAATTTATTAATTTTAATGTATATATTTCATATATAGTGACAATTTTGACCTTATTCCATTAAATTAAACTGCCAAAATAGACGACAGGGGGTGTAGATTGTAATTTCTGGTGTTCTTGGGGACTAGTTTGGTTTGTGAGTTTCAAGGGTGTTTACTAATTTTGGGGCAATTTAATGCATTTCGAAAACTATTGGAGGGAACTTGAGGCTGGATTTTTTAAATTTTTCTTAAAGAAAGAAAAAAGAAAAAAATGGTATATAATAGTTAATTCAAACAAGAGTTTAAATTCGAATGCTAAATCTAAACTTTTCGTTTATTTGTACTTCGTATTTAAGAATGCTGGCATGAAAAACTGAGCGATTAACGTAATAGTTGGATAGATGGGTCATAGCATCCAGCCTTATGGAAATAGGGGTAAAATTAAATCAAATAAATTAAACTCATATTCATATCTTAAAAGTATAAACTCAGATCTGGCTAAACAACTAAAACACTTTAACTTGCCCTATAATTCAGACTTTATATTATCAGAAACCAATATATATATTTAATCATCAAGACTTTCGTATACATCAAAGATCTTTTGCATAGCATAACCCATATGGCTCTCCACTCTTATTACGTTAAATGATGATCCATTATATTTATTTATTTATCTTTAATAAATAATCAGCTATTTACTTCTATGTTAAGTTGATTTAATCATATGAAGATTGTTTTGTTTTGTTTTTTTTTTTTTTTAAGGTTACGTATGAAGATTGAAGATTGCCATTCTTGATGCTGGTGATTTGCTCAAGGCAGTTCATGGAATCTCGATGTATCAGTACATGAGCAAGGATCCAAGTTTCAGCGATGTTTTCAAACAGACAATGGCTGCTCAATAAAAATTATCATGAGGGGAGTTCTAGAGATATACAGAGGTTATGATGGAGTTTCATCACAGTTAATGTTGGCAGTGGAATTGGAAGATGCCTCCATAAAATAACCTCCAAGAATCCTTCTATTAAAGACATTAATTATGATCTACCTCATGTGATACAAAGTGCACCATCTTAGTCAGGTACTTGAGATCTTGGTATCAATGATCTTAATCAAAACTATTGTACAGATTCAACTTCATTTATCAAAATTTATATGCAAAAATTCTATATAGCTATCCAACATATTGGAGGAAATGCGATTATGTTGAATGCATATCTTCAGTTTGGATTGGTCTGTCAACATTCTCCTTCAAACTTGAGGCGATCAAACCAAGTTTGCTACGAAGAGACAAAAACATGGGTCATGAAAGTGGTTCAGTGAAGATGTTAATGACCTGCTGGTTCGTAGGGACATATAGAGTGACAAGAAAGAAGAGACTTCAAGGCAACCTTTTCCTTTATAAAATGATATTCTACTTCAACGTGCTTCCTCCTCCCATGCAAGATCGGATTGGTAGTCATGTGAAGAGCAGAGAGACTATCACAAATTGAGATGTAAACTTGGATTGGGATATTCTGATAAATTATTAGTTAAATAAGAGTTTATTTAGTATAAATTATTTTAATACACATTTAATAGTTATTAAATATGTATCAAAAAAAATTATAATTATAAAAATATTTTAAGAAATAAAATATGCCCTCTTTTGCCATTACACATATAACAAAAATTTGAAAATTAAACTTACCAAGCACATATTTATAGTTTTTAAAAATCAAAGCAACCTTAAAATTTTAATTTACCCAACACAATCCAAATTATTTTTAAAGTTGAGTAAAAAAATTATTAAGTTTTAAGTTGCAACAATCTCAAACTAGTCCTAATATGAGGTAGAAAATGAATTTCAGACATAATAGGAATTATGGATTTTTTTTAGGAATTTTAAAAAGGTATATAAATTAAAAATTATATGAAAAATAAATATAAAAGAAGTTGCATGATATACATTGAGGGGAAATTTTTAGCCTAGTCCAATTTGATGAGGTCCGATGAGGGAGTCCATGATAAATGCGCCTAAAATATATAAATAAAGGTCTAGAGTGGGAGGTGATTTTTAGTCCCTGTCTAATTGGGCAGTATCCTCCGTTGCTAAATACACCTCTTTTATAATTAAAAAAAATCTCCTTAATCCTATTTAATACCCAAAAAAATAGCACTCTAAGCGTAATTAGGTTTATTTTTCCTAATTTTAAACTTAATTAGGTTTTTTGTTTACACCTTTCCCCAATTTTGTAATTTCATATTTGAAACTTTTTTTTATCAAAATCTGATATATCACATGGTGTGATTACTTTTTCCATGGTTTTAGTATTATATTCTCATCAAAAAAGTAAATGTTGAAATAAAAAAAAGGTTTTCAACCAGTATGAAAATTCAGGGTTGAGGTTATGAGAATTTAGTGTTAGGGTTTATGTAAAATCAAAGGTTAAAAAGATTAGGAGTGTAATTAGAAATTATAATTACATTTATAGTGATTTTATTTAAGGTCAAACTTGTCAAAACATAATAATACTTTTAAAAGTGAGGGATACTAGTTAATTAAGTGGAGGCTAAAAATCATTTCTCATCTAAAATAAATTAAGTTTTGAAAATGAGTCGGATTGGAGATTTTGGCCACCTGCGGCCCAAACCCGAAAGTCTGTCCAAAGAAAAGGAGACTCATATATATGTTAATATGAGTGGACAAATGGTATGACACGTGGCAGACAAGGAGGTAAAATCTCCAACGACCCATCACGTATTTGTCTTCCCTTCCAAGTTAACTTTCCACCGCTTATATTTTACGATATTAACTTCACCACTTCTAGACATTTCAGCAAAAATAAAAAACTTCCTATAATTTTGGGGGCAAAGGCTGTATAAATCCCTCAAAATCATATTGCTTGCATAAAATCCTAAGGGCCTATTTGTTAGATTATTTAAAAAATGTAATTATGAAAAAGTGTTTTAAATTGAATTGAGTTTGATTAAATCGAATAAGACCAAATTCCGAAAATGTTTTTAATAAAATATCTAAAAATTATATTAGAGTTTGATAAAATGTTAGAATAGTTGTTTAGTACATTTTAAAAAAAAAAAATTAAGATAGAATAATTGTTCGGCATAATTTCTAAAAATATTTATTATTTTTTAACCAGTGTAACGCTAAGTACACCCTAACCACCCAAGAGGATAGCCAACGTTCGACCACCACCTCCGAACGATAGCCAATAATCGTCGAAATAATGCATGACCAGCTGGATTTGACCGATCATGCACTGATATTACCATTTTTTGGCTTGATCTATGACAAATCTTTGGTCGTCGTCAACGGCTAAAATCTGGCCATTGTTAACTGCTAAATCGATGCACGACCAGCCAGATCTTGCTAGTCATGCATCGGTCTGGCTACGTTGGCCAGTGGCTGCGGTGGTTACTGGCAGGTGGTTGTGGTCTTAGTTGAATTAATTTTCAAATTGGAAGGAGAAGAAAATGAGGAGAGAAAGAAAAAAAAAAAAAATTGAGTTGAATAATGTTAGATAGAAAAATGTTTTGAGTTGAATAATCTGAAAATAAGTCCTCCCTCTTTTCATTTTTAGACAAAAACAATGTTATTTAATTTGGATTAATTTTCATAATAATGATACTAATAAGTAAATAAACACATAAATAGGATAACATAATAATGATTTAGAATAGTATAACATGCAGTAACCTTATTTTTTCAACTGTTTTGGTCTTGGTATCTAACTTAAGTATCGGAAGGGTCACGCCAACAAAACCTATTAACAGCCTTCAACATTAGCGAATCTCTTCTAAACGCTAGTGAATTTTATTTAAGAGTTCAACAAGTAGGCAAACCTCTTACTCGACAAAATCTGTCTAGGTCATTTTTTCGCCCACATGATATTACTATTATCATATGAGAAGTTGCAAAATTTGGCATGAAAACTTAAGTATATAATTTGGGATATGTCTTCTTCTAATAGATATTTCTTCTTGCAGTGGCGATACTGAATAAAAAAGTCTTCAGATTATTAAATATTGATAAAGAAAGAAACGACGGAAACAGAAAAAAAAACATTGTTGATGATAAGATAAACTTAAAAATAAAAATCGATTGGGAAAAGGGCACCGCCATGAGCCATCCACATGTTATGCATTTACCCATCATCATCAAGCATTCATACTTTGTGGGAGAAAGGACAGCCTTGGATCGGTGTTGAACTTTCAGCACTCTTATCTTCTTTCTTCGACACAGTTTCAGAGATTGGTGACCCTTTTAATAATCGTCCAAATAACTCTGCTGGGTCATAGTAGATTTCAACATCCTCTACCCTTAGTGCTCCATCAACCTGTCAAGTTTATTTCTCATTACCAAACCCACTTCAATCTCAAATACAGTCATGTATTTAATTAATGATGGGCCATTCTTCAATTGACAATGTCAAAATGTATGCAGCTCACCTAGACGTCTGCAAAAAACATTAACTCCAGGGAAAAGGGATCCGATGGATGATATCACTATTGTCTATTTCATTTCATTAGTCGATCTATAAAATTAGCACCATATTTTGTTGTTATATGTTATTTAAATGAATACATCTATTTACTTAATAAATAACTGAATTTAGAGAACATACCTTAATAGTTCCCAACCCAATAAATTCAACCTTTTCTCCAGTGGGAGCATGTCCTCTGAAAGGTCCTTCAAAGAAACCCCAATGCCTGAACTTGAAAGCAATCACAGGAGGCCGAGAATAAACACTTAGAATTTCCCATGCAAACCCTCGAGGTAAAGCCGATCGAAATACTTCATGAGATGATTCAAAGCTCTCTTCTTCTGCCTTGTAGTATTTGAACTCCTCTGGCAATGAATTCTTCAACAAAGCGTTGTAGCTTCCAACTTTTAGTGTCTCTTCTGCAGATAATCCTTCTCTTCCTGTCACGTGTAAAATTTATTTACATGTGATTTGATATGAAACACAATGTTTGATTTGTGTTCAATAATTATGAACACATGTTAAGTTTCAAATTAAATCTCAGAAAAGTGAATGAATTAATTCAATTCAATTCGATAATGATAAATAAAAAAAATGGGGCATAACATGATACTTTAGTAGGACCAACAATCCAATTAAACTATTTGCTTAACATGACAGGTGTATTGTATTGTTTAGGTAAAGTGAAAATAAATAAATTTATATTAGTCAAAGATATCATAATATTGCACCAATAATTAATAATATCTGTAAGGTTGGAGAGAAACATCTGGTTTCAACATTTATCATCAATAAAGGAAAAGATTAAGAAAAAAAACTAACCTAAAATCAACAAAAATGATATTTTAATATCAATTTCTTTATAACTACATGAAGTGCTTTTGCTACAAAGTTAAATTTATTCATATGATATTTAATTACTTCATAAATCATAATAGAGCAATAACAGAAGATGATATATATGTAGTACCATTAACAATGAGCTTAAACTTCTCAGGATTAATGGTTTTGAAATCTTGTAAGCGAGTCTTGTGTGAGAGCTCCATCTCCCATGACTTGATGGCATTTTGCACTATTTCTTCCAAGGAACCTTTCGGCCACTCCTGCATAAATAACACGAAAATGTTAAAATCTTACACAGAGATTAGTCATCTCCAAGATTAATATATAATATCTAAGAAGAAAGAGAGATCTATGGGGGGAGGATGAAGGTGTTATGCACCTTAGTTCGGCCTTCTTCAAAGAGCTGATTTACGCTATCATAAGTAGGAGGGCCGCCATGTCTCCATTGAATTTTCTCTCCACCTTCATCGTTCAGGAAGGACCTGTATTTATCTCCTCCTTGTGCAGCTACTGTAACTGGAGCATCTTCACCTGTTGACATGTTCGGGAAATTAAAGTTCCTTGTGCGAGAAAAGTATAAACAGTTGAAGAGGTTTTATGAGAAAAGTATAAACTGCTGATCAGGTTTTGTAGAGAAATACTGGATAAAACACTTTAGGACCACATGTTACTATCTATATAATTAATCTCCAGTATAAACATCTAGAAATTTTAACATGCAGGCGGAAGATGATACTCTCACAACATAAAATAAGAAAAGTAAGTGACCACTTACCTTTAAACCATATGTTAAAACTTCAAGACATCTAACCTGAACATATATCGAGTAATTTTCTAGTCCAGACTTCATGATATAAATTTTGTCAAGATCATAATTATCTACCATTGGATTTATCACATTTGGCTAAAATGATGTTTTACAATCTAAATCCAATGGTATCTGTGCATGATCCTGATAAATTTATATTAGGATATATTCTCAGATGCAATAAGGGATGGATTATATTATTCTTATTCTACTTTAATATTCTATATTCATTTTCGAAATTACCAATGATGTTGATTAGGTGTGAGCAAAATTTTAGGGTAGGACTAGAGGTGGACCAAATAGGCCGAGTTAGGCGGGTCAACCCTAACCCGGCCAGCAATGAAGAGGGTTCAACCTGAACCGTCAATATGACGGGTCGGGTTGAACGCAACCCTCCAGCAACCCTCGGGCGGACCGGGTTGCTATATGGCAACCCGCCAACCCGGCGGGTTGCTATTTGTTTGCAATAGCCAACTTGGCCGAAAAAAAATTAAAAAAAAAAAAAATTAATTATTTTTTTCAAGTTTCTCCCATTTTTTAAATTCTTTTAATTAAACTATTATGATTGAACTCTTACAAATAATTTTACACAATAATATTAAACTATACTTCTAAATCATAAATATTAAAATGTATAAAACTTTGTAATATTTGACACATTATTATTATTATTTTTTATGGTACGTAAAATATATAAAAAATTAAATACTAAAGTCTTATTCTCAAATTTCCATGTCTTGTATAAAATATAATTCATTCTTATGCTAAAGTTTCATCAATTGAATGAATAAATCTAATTTTTCTTATATTACAATTTTATTGTATTAAAATTGAATTAATATTTGAATTGTTAATAAAAAAATTAATTTAATTGAATTATTGATATTTGAAAAGTTAACTAAAAACAATTACATTATTCATTTATAAATCGTTAATTATTTATTTGAAAAGTTAAGTAAATAAAACAAAATCAAAAATTAAATTAAGTAAAAAAAAGGGGTTAACCCGGCCCGACCCGTAGCCTAACCCGGCGGGTTAGGGTTGGCAGGCCGGGCTGGGCCAGCCATTCCCCCAAAAATGACAGGCCTAACCCGGCCTGCCTTTGTTGGCGAGCGGATTAGGACCAACCTGCCAAAAGTAGTAACCCGCCGTGGGCCGGGCGGGTTACTTTTCCAACTCTAGGTAGAATCGGAACCAATGGGTACCTGGGTGTTAGTTTCGGTTCCTACTCGAAACCGGCCATAACAGGGTAGGTTTTGGTTCCAAAAAATTAGAACCGATACTGTGCGGTTCCAGTTCCGGTTCCAAATAAAAGGAACCAGAACCGAAACTGAGACTAAATTGATATAATATTAAAGAATATGAGGTTTCTTGATATTTTGCATATCACGTTAAATAATAGCTTTTAAATATTTATTATCGGTGAAAACAAACAATTAAATACTTATAATCAAGCATGAAATATCAAGTAAATATAAACAAATATATTATTTAATGTTTTGTACTTAATTGTTAGGGGTGTAATTATAATTTTATAAGGGTTTATTTGTCATTTTTTAAAAAATAGGGGGTAATTGATATTTTCTAGGGTACCCAGAACCTATAACACAAGTTCTGGTTCCAAGTTTTTTGGAACCAAAATTGACGGTTCCCGTTCTGGTTCCAAATCAAAGGAATCGGCAGGTTTCGGTTCTGATTCCTTTGATTTTTTACTTGTACCCAGACCCGCCCATCCCTAAATTGTTGATTATATGTGTTGATGCTGGATTTTGACACCAACTATTCGCACGTGCAAAGTGCTAAGCAGACTTAGGAATTACATGTGAACTGGGAATGGAAAAAAATATATAAAGGAAGACAATTTTTAAAATGGTTCGGATGCTCAAAGTGAATCCTACATCCACTGTCTTTTTATAGAAGAAAGGTTACAATCAGGTTGCAAGTAGCGATCTTAAAATAAATACAAAGAGGGAGAAAGAGTGTTTATATTATCAGAAGTCGAATCCGAATGAAGAGATGAGAGCTCTCTCTTTATAGCAAGAGGTTCTTGGGCAATGATTACGAGTCTGTCAATGGGCAAGTACCTTACAGTTCCTACCTTGCTTCCTATTGGCTGGCTATGTGATAGGTATCCTTAAATCGTGTAGGGATCAGGCAAGTGGATGACTCCTAGCTATTTACTAACCATACCCTTACCAGCCAAGTTGATGATAGCCTTACTCCTCTTATCTTTGGATGACATGGCAGCGCCTGGATGACACAATGCCTTCCTGAACTCTAATTAATCCTTGCTGACTTGAGTCTACGTCAGCCCTGATTTTTTAGACATAACAAAAGCCCCCCCAATTCTTAAGGTTCAAGGCTTGAACTTTGAGAACTTCATGATTATGCTATGATTTGACTCGTTCCGAGGATCGCTCGCTCAAACTGTTGATGAAGATTGGCTGAGGTAACGTGAAGCACACAACTTAACTTGACCAACGAACTGAATGGAGGTCGTGATGCAAAGTTTCGCGAGTTGCACAAGTGACCTGATGTGATCGTCCCTTAAAGGTTCAACGGCCTGGGATCGGATCTTGCTCAGTACTATACCAACGTACTTAGAGCTTTGCCCATCGTTCGCGACCTGAAAACACTTAAGAGTATTTTTGCCAAAAATCAGAAGTCACTTCGCTTCGAGCCTAGTACACAAAGAAGAGTGTTTTAATCGAACGATCTCTTCAGATGTGATCCATTACACATGATAATTGGCCTAGTCAATAAAGTAAGATTTATCTAACAGACATGTCTTTGCGCAATAAGTGTCAGCCATGAGCATTAAATACAAGTCATGTTGAAACGACATTCTCTTTTAAGGCATTAAATACGGATGAGGGCACATTTAATATGGTGAAGATAACCATGCCGATGTTTGGTATTTTCAACTTAGGGAATCATCGATTGATCTTTACAAAGCATGCAGGTCACTCTTTGTGAGGATTGACAACACATGGTCGCATCCAATGGTTGGGAACACGCCCCACCCAAACGTCACTTGCGAAGGGAACCAATCGTCGCCTTTTTCCTTATAAAACCCTAAACCTATCTAAGAATTTTCACAAAGTTGGAATCTTCAGAAGAAGAACAAAGTTTTTACACTCAAGAAACAAGTTCATCCATCTTCTAGTTGATGTGCACTTGCCGTTATGATAGAGTGTTCATTCCTAGCAACCAGGAGGTAAGGAAAACTCTTCCCTTTCTTCCTTTCAATCCTGTTAAAAGCTTGGTTATTTCACAGCAATGGCTTGCTTGAATGCTTGGTAAACTTATATGATACACATTTTGGGGCGGTGTTAAAAAAGGAAACACCCTCAAGAACAAAAAACCTAGGGCACAGATCCTTGGGAACTAGTTCTCAAGGACGTTTAGGGTTTTTAGGAGTTAAAGAGGGAAAATTAGGGTTTTTCTTACTCTTTTAAGTTGACGTACGACACACTGTATGAAGACCGAGTCACATTTACGTGTCGCATCTTTTTAGACTTTAAAAGTGATGGATGCTTCAGATATGCAAGCAACCGAAGGAACCAGTTCACAACCCCCAAGCACCTCGACGGGCCCCGCACAAGCGATGCTATCAACAGCCACTACGGATGAGATTCAGAAAGCAATAGACTAGTTTGCAATCAACGTAAACGTCTACCAGCATATATCGCATACCGCTCAGGACCCTCCAAAGGGAATGGCTATGATCTTAGAGGCAATCTTTAAATGCGGAGTGACGATACCTTTTCACCCCTTTAGCAGATCGATCCTCGACCACTTCGAGGTTGCGATATGACACCAAATATTTCTTCTTCGAGTATGATGGTGTCTATAAATTTAAGGAGCCGAGTAGGTTTTTCCCTTTTTAATTCCCATACTGACCATCCCTTCCTTTAACTCCCTTTTAGTAGTCAAGACTAATGATTTTTTTTTTTTTTTCAGTGAACAAGATGACCAGGTTGACGGCTCTAGTAGATTTCAGATGCATTGAAGCGTTTGGTCGCTTGCCTGATTAGAGTCGCGATGCAAAACTACTTGTGACCACTGCCAATCTGCGAAAGTACAAATTTTTGCTCCCCAAGGCATCTTTAGAAGCTCTAACTCGTAAGTATCTTCGTACCTAGAAAACCTTTTAGCCTTGTGCCAGAGATGATTTTTTACTAACACATTTTCATGACATGTAGCGACTATGCCACCAAGGGTTCTGAGGCCACCGACAAGGGTTGGGGGGTTTGTATTCCCACGAGTCAACCCAACTGAGGTGACCCTAGTGTCATCCTTACAAAAGGGATGCAGATCGGCGTCAGAAGGTGACCACCCACTGAGTGATGCGAAGAAGTTCCCTGGCCTGTGACTGCTCATGCCACGAAGCAGAAAACCATAGGCTATAAAACCAAGAAGAGGAAACAACTGGCCGCCGAGGAGGAAACAAAGTCAGAACCGAAGGGCTTTGGGGTGCTGCCGGAGAGAACTCAGCCCTACCCTGTTGCTCGTTTGAGAGTATCCTTGATGGGCCCTCATGTCGCTTCGATGGCCCCTGGGAGCTCATACCAAGGAGTGAGGGCGACCATGGCTGCCCATAGGAGAGCGGGAAAGCAACGGGTTGAGGATGCACCTGCCCTCTCAAGGTCAAGCCCGTCCGTGCTAGATTCCTTAGGGCAACTGCCAAAGCATTTGCAACCAATGATGTACACCCTACTCGAATGCCAACTTGCCAAGGCCTTCGAGGAGTTCATGGCCTCGTGACCAGTCGACCTGGTGACTATCGCGCTCCAACTGCACAGTCAGGTAAAACAACCTGTTCCCTATGGGAACCTTCTTAGCTTTTATGATTTTAAGAAAAGAAAACTGACTTTTGTCTCTTTTCCTATGCAG